GCTTCAATTCTGCTATTTTATGTTAACGACAAGCCACTATCATTCCATTGATACGCTATTGAGATGCCATTGAGAAGCCATTGACATCGGTCAAAATATCGGTATTCTACTAACATAAATTCACAGTTTCAATAGACTGTCGATATAGTAGTATGTAGTGACAATGGTGATATTAACAGCATTGCCATATCTGGTGAATTAAATAAATCATTTTCTTACAAATTTAAAATGTACGGTTTACCAAACGAATACAAAGACATCGACGACATTTGTATCAGTAGCAGTTTAGTGACAAGTCATCGGAAGGTCGTTGGTCTTACATAGTTAGTAGAATAAGAAAAGTGCAAAGCTATTCCGACGACAATCCATCGACAGTCTATTGATACAATATTAAAATAGCAGAATTGAGGCCCAGAATCTTAGCAGCGTAAAACGCCTACATTGGTGAATCAACAAATTAGGTTCCTCTGAACCTAATTTGTTGATTCACCAATGTAGGCGTTTTACGCTGCTAAGATTCTTATTACTGTGTAATAGTACGGGAGCTAGCAACGTTTGGAAAATAAAACGAGGCCGCTTGAACGGAGTGATACTATGGCTTCACAAAAAAATATCAGGTGACCCGTCTGCCCATTAATAGAGTAAATTACATGTTAAAGTAAACTTCGCCATGTATTTTGGTCTCGTGCCAATAAATTATAGCTTACAGCGGTTACTTAGTTCACGTGTAATACGTGAGATGTCTCTGAATACATTTTATTTCTCTGATGGTTTACTTCTCGACTTTATTTGACGACTGGATGGCGTAGTGGTTTGTGTAACGGACTGCTATTCCAAAGGTCGCGGGTTCGATTCCCGCTCAAGTCAAACATTTGTGTGCATGAACATTTGATGTTTGATTTGGTCTGGGTGTTTCTATGTATAATATGTATGTATTTACAAAAAAAAAAGTATATATGTATTTATATCAGTTGTCTAGTACCCATAGTACAAGCTCTGCTTAGTTTGGGACTAGATGGCGTTGTGTGTATGTGGTAGAATATTATATTATTATTATATTATATTATATTATTTTCAGTTGATAAACTAATAAAGTGTAACCAAACAAATGTCTGCACTAATGGCGTAGTGGTTAAGACGGTCGCCACGCTGCTTCCTACTGTGCTGAGTGTTGTGGGTCCGATCCCCACACGGGACTACACTTTGTGTGATCTACAAATTGTTGTTCTGAGTCTGGGTGTTCTTTGTGAACATCATGACCTTACCTTTCAATGAATTGCCTAGAAAAATACCAAACCAGATTGATTTAAACCCATTAATTGGTAGACTATTCATAGACTATTTCAAAATTCGATTTAAGAAGATTTTTGTCCAATTTCCTAAAGTACTTCTAATCCCAACATTTATTCCCAAAATGTATAGCTGAGGGTTTGATATCTTTTAAATCGGACTGACAGACAAACATAACTATACTATTCTAGAAATACTCCCTAAACTTTTTGTTAATTTCCTTAAAAAAAATGCAACCCCAAATTGCAGAGATCTTGTATCGCTACAAACTTCATGCTTTTGACTAGTTCTTCTTAAATAAAATGGCAAAGAAACATAATTAGGATTCACAAATACAGGTATTAAAAGTACTCTAAACAATAACTTTTTTCTTGATATTACCCACTTATTTATCCAAATCGATTACAAACGTTATAAAACTAGTACTATTAACGCCATCTGTTGTTCAGTAGTGAGAAGTAACTAAAAAGTGAGTTACAAAGAAAAGTGTATTTTTTTTTTCAGATGGATACATAGATGTTGAATGCAAGGACCTTGCCAACCGCTACGCTAATGACGTCATAGCTTCTTCTTGTGCCTTTGGTTGACTCCCACATGGATATTGAAAACCAGTTTTCCAGTCAAGAAGCAATGAAGCCCCAAATTTTACGTTTAGTCAGATGTCAATGTTTTTCAAAATAAAAACCATTTAATCTTGTAGTGATGTCTATAAAAAGAACATAGCAAGACATTTAGTCATACCTGGAGGAATCCCAGAGCATTGGAACTTTTCAGTGAAATGAACAAATCATAAGAAAGGGAAGAATGAGGTTAATTGAAGTCATCATCATCACACATCAACAGCCTTTACTAGTCCACTGCTGGACATAGGCCTCTCAGAAAGAGACCTTAGAAAAGAGGTTTTGCCCTACTATACCACGCTGGCCAGACAGGTTGTTATAGGGTTTGTTTCAAGTTTTCTTCTTTCTGTGCAAAACTCAACTCCTTGCATTTGTTTCGTTTTTATAGTTACCTTAAAACAGTAAACTGCTAAAAATCCAAGCCACTATTGAAAAGGCACGGATCGGACTGTGCGGATAGCGTAGTGGTTTAAGCGGTCGCCACGCTGCTACCTACTACGCTGAGTTTATGGGTGCTCTCCCCACAAGGGACGACACTCTGTGTGATCCACAAATTGTTGTTCTGAGTCTGGGTGTTCTTTATGTCCCTTTCATGTATGCTTGTAAAGTCACCCGCGACACAGGCTGTATTCTTGGTGCGGGAGTTGTCTTTTAAAAGATATAAAAGGTATTCAATTATAACAAATACTTACATAGCAATGTGATCGGTGTACTAAATTTTTGATTTTTATTTGGAAAACAATATTAAAAACACAAAACAACAACAACAGACTATTATAGAGAATTATATAAAAGCAAGAATCCAACAATAGCTACAGAGGAACAACATCCATTAAATTCTGAACCTATACCAAAAATATTAGAAGAAGAAACTGCTAAAGCTATAAATACACAAAAAGTAGACAAAACACCTGGGTCCGATCAAATAACCAACGAATTACTCAAATCTACTTTACCAATAATTGCTCCAATATTAACAGACTTATTTAATGAAATTATAGAAACCGAAATCATTCCACAAGACTGGACAAAATCAACGATCATTCTGTTACACAAGAAAGGAGATAAAGAGGATATTGGAAATTATCGCCCAATCAGTTTAATGTCGAATATTTATAGTCTTTTCAAAAATTGTTCTGTCCAGAATTACCAGAGTACTCGATGAAAACCAGTAAATTTTCAACCATAGATCACATCCACGTTCTAAGACAAGTCCTACAAAAATACAACGAGTATAATAAAATATACTTCTTAGGATTCGTAGACTATAATAAGGCTTTTGACTCCCTGGAACACGGGTACATCTGGGAAGCTCTGCGAGAGCAAAATATACAGGACGGATATATAAGAATCTTAAAGAATATATACTCCAAAAGCACAGCACAAGTCAGATCTGAAAAATTAGGCGAAAAATTCTCTATAGAGCGAGGCGTTCGTCAAGGTGACCCTATCTCACCTAAATTATTTTCGGCAGCACTGGAGAGGATATTCAGGAACCTAGATTGGGAAGATCAAGGGCTCAAGATTAACGGCGAAAATCTAAGTCATCTACGTTTTACAGATGATCTTATACTGTTATCTGAATGTCCTAGGACATTACAACAAATGCTACAACAGCCAACAGCTATCAGACCAGAGTGCAGTAGCAGGACTAACAATGAACATCACGAAAACAAAAATTATGACTAATTCCTCAAAGTCACAAAAGATCACGGTAAACATGCAGGAAATAGAATACGTAGATGAATATATATACCTAGGACAATTAATATCACCTACAAAAACCATGCATAAGGAAGTAGATAGGAGGATAGCCAATACATGGAAAAGATACTGGTCATTAAGTGAAGTTATGAAGGACAGGGACATGCCAATTAAAGCAAAAAGGAAAGTCTATAATATGTGCATTCTGCCATGTTTAACATATAATAATAATAATATAATAATAATATAATATTCTAACCACATTCACACAACGCCATCTAGTCCCAAACTAAGCAGATAACTAAGCATATGGCTGTCAAACTTGGACTTTAACAGAAACCTTAACAAATAAAATAAACGTCTGCCAAAATAGCATAGAGAGGAGTGTTATTGAAGTCAAGAGAAGAGATAAAGTTAGACTAACAGAAATTAAAAACAAAACACAATTCAAGCAGGCAAATTCATTATATCGAACACTGAAATGGCAATGGACAGGACATATGTTAAGGGAAAAACAAGAGAAATGTACGAAAATTGTAACGGAGTGGTACCCAAGAGATGGTAAAAGAAACAAAGGGCGATATAAAAAAGGTGGCTGGTCCAGAATGGTTCCGAATAGCTAAAGACAGGGCGAAATGGAAATCTTTGGAGGAGGCCTATGTCGAAAGACAAGCTGTTTTTGTACCGAACGTCGATATACGAAGTTAAATATAAGTAGGATAACATTAATTAATAAAGAAAAAAAATTAGGTAGTTCATTAAAGTCAATGTCAATGTTATGTAAGTTTAAACAGCAATAAAGGCTAATTTATTTATTTATTTATTAAAAAACATGGCATTGAATAATTCAGAACATAAAAATATGTAATTGAAGTAATTAAAATAAGACGTTTTGCTTTCATTTCAGTTAGTTTGAAATTAATGTCGTCGTGCCTTGTGGAGTATATACTTTAGCGATTTTACGTTAACCGTAGAATTTCCATCTCTTTATTATCTATGTATCTTTTCAAACTATATATTTAGTCTAAAAGGTAAACCACTAAATATATTCCTTTCAGTTTTTAAATGTTCCAAAAATAACATAATATATTTTACGAGTGTGTACATTATGAAAGTTTTTGATTAAGGTCGACCTACCTCGTTCATACACATAAATACGTACATAAAAATATGATTTTATTATATATAAGAAATATTTAGACTTCCACAAAACACCTCTGATAACCTCATACCAAGTTATCAAAATTTCATAATTTTGCTCGCGTTATCTCAAGTGCTTTAATTGTGTCAAAAAGTGATAATTATAATATCATACTTGCTAAAAGAGGAATTTAGTTCGGTAGTTTAAGTTGGTTCGGTGATACTGTTATAATTCCTTTATTAAATATGGAAAGAGAAATCAAGGACAAGGTTATTGCGATTACTGGAGGAGCCCAGGGTATTGGATACCAGATAGCTCATCATTTTCTGAAAAATGGTGCAGCCAAAGTAATCGTTTTAGACATACTTGAAAACTCTGGTATTGATGCCGTGAAGACACTTAACGAAAAACACGGGCCGGAGAAAGCTGTGTTCTTTAAATGTGACGTTACTCGTGATCTAGAAACCGTTTCAAGTGAAATACTTTCGAAGTATAAGATTGACGTTTTTGTTAACAATGCGGGAGTTTTGGATGAGACATCGCTACGGAAAACTATGGAAATCAATGTTATAGCTGTGGTGGAATGGGGTATGAAATTTTGGAATTATATGAGAAAGAACAATGGTGGTTTTGGTGGAACAATTATTAACATTGCTTCAATCTATGGATATGTTAGCGATCCTTGGTTTGTTTATTACAAAACTTCAAAACACGCAGTCATAGGTTTTACTAAAACCCTAGGTCATTCTTACAATTATGAAAAGACTGGAGTGCGAGTGTTTGCTGTTTGTCCAGGATTTACTGATACTAAACTTTTGGAGAAAAAAGAACTATTTGAAGACACAGAAGAAGTAAAAAAATTTTTGGAAACGCGATACCTTCAAAAAGTGGAGACTGTTGGGCAAGCTGCAGTTGACATATTCAAAGTAGCTAATAGTGGTACTGCCTGGGTAACACAAAATGACGAACCCATCGCAGAAATATCATATTAAACAAATGTATCGAAATATATTTTATCAATCTTTTAATACATACTTTTTTGCTAATGGAAAGTATCTATATAAAATAATTTTTTTAAATCAAATTTGGTTATCTAGAGCCATGGCTATAAAAAATTACGTTATAATTTTCAAGGCCACTTACTATTATTGGCTTTTATTAGTACTAATATTAGTTGATCCTACTCCTTTCTGAATTCTTATTCTTGTGTAATTAATTTTGCTTAGATTATATGCCAACTACATAATTCGTTAACGAAAAACAGTTGAATAGAATAAATAAATCAGCAATCATGTTTTCTCGTTTATTTAGTCCACGTGCTATTTAAAACACATCCACATTTTGTCAAGCTACAATTTGGTTTATTCGCCAACTGGGCACTTTGTGATTTAAAAAGAAAAAAAAGGAGTATATTGAAGAGTAGAGGTGGTTAAGAAGGGATGGCAATGGAAGGAAAGGGATTACGGATTGAGATTGGGAAATGTTAGGACTAGCTCGAGCAAGTAATGTTTTTGTTAATCAACCCTAGTTTTTAAATACATACACAATTATTTAAAAACAATATTCTGATATTGACTGGTCTGTTACTAACCATAGTAGCCCTGACTGCAAAACCGAACCCCATCCAGGACTGGACACCGGGTTCAATTCCCACCCAGGACAATTAACTGTGTAATAATTACGATTGTTTGTTCTGTATCTAGGTGTAATTTATCTATAATACGTATGCATTTAGAAATATTCAACTATGTTTATCAGATGTCCGGTTACCATAGCTCTGGCTCTGCATAGTTTTGGAGTAGACTTTTATTTTTATTTTATTTATTTATTAGGCCACTAATGGCAAGTACACTATTACAATGTATTTACAAACGTATAGATTTTATAGCTAAGCATCACGCCACTTACAGGTAGGCACAACATGGACCAACAAAAATGCACTAACAATTTACTTAAACAATGTAACCTTGAAAATTATTACAAGACTTACAAAAATAAATAAAAAATAAACTCCTCAAAGCTTACTATTCTTGTATCTTATACAGTTTTCTTGATTCGAGGCAAAGTTATTATCTATTATATTGGTGTAAGGTTGAAAGGCAGTAAATAATCGGGCTATTTAGTAATGGTTTTTAAATATTCTCGCCTAGTACTAGACCTAACGTTCAATCTAGGAACATTGAGGCCGATCCTGCTGAGCAACTCGGGGCAGTTCGCGGTCCCGGTCAGTAATACGACTCTCGAGAGAAGACAACCCAAAGTAATCGTCTTTTTTTATATGATGTTAGTTCTTTGTACATTTTGAAACTGCCTAAAGATAAGTGTCTTAAAAAGGTTTTTGGATTCTTTCAAGCCGGTCAACATGATTCCTATATGTGGGAGACCAGAAAAATAATAAATAAATTAATAAATGTTATAAATATTGATAATTTTTTTTTTCTGTCTTTAAAAAGGTTTAAAAATATAAACATGGGATTAAATATTAATGTTATTACGCAACGGTAAACGGAAGGGAATCTTAAAGGAGCTTCATCTCTTTCAATTAATTTATTCAATTCGCTGAAATTCATTAAAAGATGAATAATCTTTTGAAAATAATATACTCCCACACGTAGTGCAGGTTAACAAATCTTCTATTACAATGAATAGAGATCTACTGATAGTAGCGCACATAAAACATGTACTTTTAGAATGATAAATTCTAACATTAATGAAACAAAAACAAGGTCACGGGTTCAATTACTCAATTAAAGAGTACACAAGTCCGAGCGGTATTCATACTCAAATAGTTTATTTTGAAGGACAAACTTCGAATTCCAAAAGTTTAATATCAAAAACAAATTATATAAAAGCAAAATCATATACCAACCCGTCTGGCCAGCGTGATAGACAGAAGTTAAAGGCTGTTGACGATAATGAAAAATTTATAAATAAAAGGCTTGTTTCATCACCATGGTAATCTCACTCATTTGATTTGCTGTTTTGAAAGCAGTGTTTGTGATCTGCTTCCGCCAAATTGAATACACGTTCAGTAGATATGGTAGATATGGTTCAGTAGAGAAGGAAAACTTCATTCAAACCCTATACCAACCCGTCTGGCCAGCGTGGTATAATAAGCCAAAACCTCCTTTCTGAGGAGAGGCCTATGTCCAGAAGTGGACTAGTAAAGGCTGTTGATGAGATATGGTGTCAAATACGAAAAACGGCTTCCTGAGTAATTGATAATGCGGCATAAATCCTGATTGGATCATTTTGCAGATAATTTTATATTAATTTCCAAAATAAGTTCCCAGGCGCAAGGCAATAAGACAAGAATTTATGTGCATAATAACTACCTTTTATTCACACACGCACTCTTGAAACTCTTAATAATTTTTCTCCCTCTACTTCTAACAGTAATGTGTTTTCTTTGTAAGCCAAACTTCAGCTTATGCTAAATGCATGTATTGGGAACGGCTTCACGTCGTCAGAGCACTGAACCCGTGACCACAAACTCCAAATCCTTAGACATTTGATTAATTTTACATTGAAGTTGGCAACAGTCAAAAGTTTACAATTTATGTGATCAGCTGAAGAGAACATCTGATCTCAGCATTCTGTGAATCTTTGTTAGTTAATGAATCACAATAAGAATAATCAATGTGTGATGTCAAATCACAGGGTGTAAGGGACCGTCCCTTACGGTCCCTTACACCCCGTAACGAATACTGAAATAGTGTACAGTAATACAGTATTAAGTGATAGTGTATTCAGACCATCATTCATCATCATCAATTTTCTGATAGAAAATTAAACGTTTTATACAATCAGCTGTCAAACGTTAAGGGCGTTTCCCGTAGGTATCACACTAAAGTAATAACTACATTTGTATTCCGTGCAAACAGTCTATACACACTAACACAAGTTGGTTTCCGCTCTTTTATTAATTACATTGCAATTTTTGACCGTATGCTATAATTATTTTTAAAAATCGTTATAATGTTCTGTTTACTCATTCTGACATCATTTTACTTAAAAAAATTAAACGATGATTCCAATTATTTTCGACTCAGAATTTTTAATACACTAATTCAGTACTCGTTACACCGTACACCCTGTGTTCATAATCAGTATTAACATATCAAACCCTTCAGTTTAACGATCCTCTCTCAGAGATCAGTCGTGGGCTAGTATTCATTCGGTGTGTATCGTTTGACAGTGGAAGAAGGTAAATAAATAAATAAATTTACAATACATATGTGTAAGAAAATGTCTAAAAGATGTTTTTGATTCAGTGATATGCTGTGCGGCTAAAATTAATCGACGGCATAGTTTTGTTTCTGTTTAATTTTTGTAAACAACTGGTGCTAATTCTGTTGTTCGAAAACTCTCTAAACTAAACTAAAAATCACTAAAAAAATGTTTGTCTTGTCAAATATTACGTTTTCAGAATAGGAAACGTTGCTTGACAGAACTAAACAAATTTTTTGTGATTTTTAGTTTAGTTTAGAGAGTTTTCGAACGACAGAATTAACACCAGTATCTTTTATGATCTCATGAAAGATCGATATCAAAACAACAAAAAAATAAGATAAATTATGTAAAATTAAATCCATCATTGAACTTTTTATTTTTAGTTGTTTGTTTCTCGATTGCAAAAAATAAGTGTTGTAACCATAAAAACAAATATTACGTATACGTATTTTTACGTTTACGTTTATGTATTTTCTTTAACAAGAAATGTATGGAAACTAAAACATTATTTATTTAGAACCTGATATAATTAAAAAAAGAAGGTGAGAAAACTATCCAGAAAATACTTAACAGTGTGGTATTTGTTTTAGATCATGATAATTTTTATTGTTTGGATAGCGGTGTTGATCGCAGTGTTTGTGATATACCTCCGTCAAAAATACTCAAGGTTCAATAAATATGGTATCAAATACATCACTCCTCTCCCAGTGTTGGGCAACACGGCAAGGGTTTTACTACGCCTGGAACACTTTGCTTACGACTCATTAAATTTGTATAACAAGTTTCCAGAGGAAAGGTAAGTGAATCACAAATTTGTGTAAACCGTTATGTTTTAGTGACGACTTAAAGTTTGAATGCATAAATCGCTAAATTAAATGTAGTAGCACTACACCATCGTGCGCTTTTGAAAATATTTTTGCCTCGCACAGCCAACTTGTGAAACAATTTGTCGTCTGGGGTATTGATAACGTCGAACACAGATTCTTACACGTTGCCGTGGTGCAGTATATCGATTTCTGTTTTTGTTTCACATTAATCTGAAGGCATCATTATCATTTACAGTTATATAAAAAAGGAATGCTTAAATATTGTAGTAAATAAGAAGTTAGCAAATTAGCTGGGAGTTTATTACAACCCTAGTTATACCGTAAGAGATAGTGGTTTAAGTGGTACTGCGCTGAGTGTTGTGGGTTCAATCCCCACATGGGACACCACTTTGTGTGATTCAAGTTTGGGATCGTACTCTTCAGGTTCAGGGATGTACTGCGGGTCCCGATGGAAGGCTAAGACGTGTATGAGAATCCTCCTTTACGTACCTGAAAACGTAACATAGTGGATTTTATTTGCGACTAATTTTAATCTAAGTCGAACTAATTTATCAAGGAACTGCACGGACTGAATTGTTGTTCTGAGTCTGGGTGACCTTTGTTTCCGTTTCATGTGTTTTTGTAAAGTTCCCCGCGACACAGGATTTATATTCCTAATGCGGGCGTTGTCTTTTTTAAGAATAAAAGAACCTTAATGCTGGAAGGATTTTTTTCTAACAAAAAACTATTCACGCAAACCTTTACTTCGCTAGTCGTTGATTACGATGATGAATGCCAATTCAAGCTAATTACGTACCTGAAGGCCAATTCTCGTAATAACAGTTCCGTCAAAAATCATTTCCAGTTAGCTCTCGATTTCACAACTGTCAGAAAAGTATTTTTTGTGGGAAAGTATTAAACATCCAATGTGGACTGAATTAACTTAATGTGATTATATCGTATAGTGACCATAACAAAAAAATGTCTCCTCAAAATTGTGTTCGATTGGTGATTAAGTTTGTTTAAAATAGTGCTTATGATTTACTAGTGAAACTAGTGACGCACGCTCCATCTGCCAGTATGCGGTCGCTCGAGAAATCCTTGGCCCCATCCGCCATCTTTTCTGCGAGCAATACGTTCCACCTACTGCCTTTTAAGTTTCGAAATTCGGGAAATGTTAGTGACCTAGGTTCATCTCCTTCTTCCTGATTCGATCACAGAAACGGCAGACGGCAGCACAGGGCCGGTTTTTGTGCCGAACCTTGGGGGAGAAGGCCTTTATCTAGCAGTGGACGTTTTTCACTAGATGATGATGAGGATGATTTAAATATAATTTGTTGCTATGCGTTTTTTACTTTAGATACATTAAAGAACTTAAGATTTGATTGATTTTAAGGTTCGTTGGAAGGTTTGAATTTACTAATGAGATGGTAGTGATCCGTGACTTGGACCTGGTGAAACAGATAACAGTAAAAGACTTTGAACACTTCCTCGATCATCGTTCTCTTTTCGGCGAGAGCAGTTCCTTCTTATCTAGAAATCTGATCTCCCTAAAAGGTAAATGTAGCAGGAAAAGTGTTCTAGTAATGTTAATGTATGTGTCCTTAACTCATTATTTGTTTACGGGTCTCAATAACACGTGTGTAGTATTGTTAACAGAAAATGTCATTTTGTTAAATTACACAGGTCAAGAATGGAAGGACATGCGTTCGACGCTCAGTCCGGCGTTCACCAGTTCAAAGATACGTGTGATGATACCCTTCATGGTAGAAGTTGGAGATCAGATGATTGCAATGCTTAAAAAGAAACTGAAGGAATCAAAAAGTTAGTATTTTTTTTAACTGATCCTTGTGACTTTAAAAGTTATAAATAGCTGCCTATTATATTCATTATTCTACAAAAACTATCATACAAAACCTACTAACATCAATAACAACATACACAAACAACATCAAACACAACAACTAGTACTACAGCATAATCATACAGAACTACGAGTATTATGTACCTAATCGCTCAATTGTCCGATTAAGTAGGTACATAATATAATGTTGTGTAAGTTCCGACGTCGCATCGTAATAGGACTAATTTAGCAAATTACCTTACCTGTGTGCGCATGGCAGATTCAACTGTTTTTTGAGTGTCCCGTAATAAGAGTTCAATATTTTATGTATTAGACTACTATTTAATTTTACACTTAAAACTCACTCCGTCCTTTGTTAAGTAGAAACTTAATAGCTTTTTGATAGATAGATAGATAGATAGATAAATACTTTATTTGTACACCAAGGTTTTACAGACATTATACAGTAATTAACGACCGATGTAATGTACATAGGGCGGCCTTACCGCTTAGTGCAATTTCTTCCAGGCAACCTTTGGATGGATTAATTTTGAAATGGTGATAGGTATACATAAATTAGAGAAGTAAATAAGGTCTTAAACTATACATATACATAAATACTATACATACATACGTTAATATATAAATACGCTAATTTTCAACTATTAGAGACAGATAATGCTCATATAGCTTTTATTATAAATTTTATCACTACACATGGTTCAGACACGTAATTTTAAAATTAAATATTTTGATTTACAGCGGGCCATATAACTGTTGACTGCAAAGATCTAACGACACGCTACGCCAATGACGTGATAGCTTCTTGTGCTTTTGGTCTAAAGGTCGATTCGCATACGGACATAGACAATCAATTCTACGCACGAGGGAAGGAAGCCTTAAACTTCGGCTTCCGTCAAATAATGTTGTTTTTATTAATGATTAACATGCCCAACGTGGCCAAAGTAAGTTTGTTTTTCTTTTAAATACCGATAAATATGGCGTGTTATTTTACTAATCACAGATTTTGAAATTTTAATAAGATTATTCCATTTTGCCGATACAATTTATTAAAATAGCGATATTTCTAAGGACTTTTAGAGCACTGATGTGGCAGATAAAGCTATAGGTACATGATTTTAGTCCCCATTTTGTATGTGTTGACGATGGGTCCCATTTGCTATAATATTTCCAGTGCAACCTAGATTGCAATAACATGTGTACTATTCCAAAGAAAAATGAATCTTTATCACATTTAAAAAATGTACAAACCTGAAGTGTCAGTATTCTTTTCATTTTACTTTACGGTGATAGTTAACGCATATCTATGTAGAAGTTTCATTTTTATTTTATTTAAAAAAAAAACGTTTTGTTATATTTTATTATATAATGCTCATCAATAAAAGAACTGAATCACCTTTTCTGTCTCTAAAATTCAAATCTGTTGATGAAGAAGTAGTGGGATTTGATCACTCATAGTACTTTGTGATTTGATCAAGGTTTGCACAAAATAACTACAATCCCTTTATGCAATAGTTACGCGTGTTAATAGATAGACCTTATGACAAACAGAACACCATATTATAAGTAGTTTATATTAAATTCATTTCATCAATTACTCTCATTTCATTAAAAACAAATTTGTTGTTAAAAGTATCGGCATTAAGATTTATTGAAGCATTTAGGCTCCGGAACGGAAATAGTTTTTGGGATTCAAACACAATAAAGCGCAATTTTCTTTCATTTTTTAAATTTGGGATCCATCGGCAATACATAATATTTTTTTCCGGGATCCAACGCCAAAAATGTTAACCTGGGATCCAACGAAAATAAACCCTTTTTCATAGTGTGTTGTTTAAAACAAATGTTTCGTCTATGTTCTAAATGTCTCGTTTTTTGTATTTAAAAGCGATCTTCGTCATTTGTATCAAAAAAATATTATACTTTTGTTTTGAATTGATTATACTCAAAGTGGATCTTTTGACCGCTTAGAGAAAATTAAACAGAAGAAAAGCTTATTAATAACAAATGGCAGATATGGTCACCCGTAAAACTACTGAAGTCAAGTGAGATCGGGTGGGATACGTTTACCGCATGCCGATGGATCTTTGGGCAAAATTAGCACAACTTGGGTACTACAAGATGCTTAATGGGAACGTGGTAGGCCCAGGTGACGATGGCGGGATGATCTAGATGGCTTCCAAAAAGACTGGTCCGAACTAGCACATAACAGGTAGATGTAGAAGAGAGAGAGGGAGGCCTTTACCCTTCAGAGGCTGGAAATGAAATGGCTTATGACCATTTACTATTTGAATCTATATTTACTTCTCTTACAGCACCTTAAATGGGATTTCCTGTCACAAAGATCCAAAGACTTTTTCAGAGATTTGGTGATGAACACAATGAAAGACCGCGAATTGAAACATATCATTAGGCCTGATATGATACATTTGCTTATGGAGGCTAAAAAAGGTAATTTATGAAATATATATTTTTTGGGTTACCCAAAGTATTATAAAATCTTTTTTATTAAAAAACCAAGCAGGCACACAATGAGTACCTCGAAGTATAATATTAATATGACTGTAAATATTTCAAGCCCCATTTTAAGACTAGTTTTTTTGAGCCACTGTACCAATTCCACACCTTACCATGAGTAAGAAGGGTTTTATCATCTGCTTGGCGAAAATTTGGTATTAGTACTACTGGTTCCTTGAAGATAGTAAAGTATTTTTTTGTTAATTCAGGAAGACTGACACACGAGACAACAAAATCTGATGACGTCGCTGCAGGTTTTGCTACAGTAGAAGAATCAGCAATTGGTGCCAAAGAAATTAATAAAGGTATCAGTATACTATGTTCAAAGTATACGAATCATTTTAATTTAACTATTATTTTTCCAAAGTAACCGTAAATTTCGATCGAGCTAGCCCATATCTTCCACTACTACAGTGTCCTTTAAATTATAGTTCTCTATAACTGATGAATAGCCTACGAATGATGCTTCGCTCGATAAGTACGAGTAGATACATTGTGGTAGTTTGAAATATTTTTAGTTATATTGTTTACTAGCTGAGACCCGCGGTGTTACCTGCGTTTGTTGTTATAACCGCGGGCAACGCCGCGGGGCGAAGCTAGTCTAAAAAAATTAGCCTAAGTTACTTCTTATGTCATCAGCTATCTGCCAGTGAAAGTCCCGTCGTAATCGGTCTAGCCGTTACAGAGATTACCCGGAACAAACAGACAGACAAAAATTGTAAAAAATGTTATTTTGGCATATGTACCGTGTAAACATATATATGCATTTAGTAAAAAGCGGTTATTTTAATATTACAAACAGACACTCCAATTTTATTTATTTGTATAGATATTGTTTCTTTGCAGAGTGGACAGATAATGATCTGATTGCTCAAGCTGTTCTATTTTTCCTCGCTGGATTTGAAACTGTTTCTTCTGGAATGTGCTTTCTTTTATTCGAGCTGGCTGCTAATCCTGATGTACAAGATCGATTGGCAAAAGAAATAAAAGATCATGACCTTAAAAATGGTGGTAAATTTGACCTGAATTCGATGCAAAGTATGACTTATCTTGATATGGTTATATCAGGTAAGACGAAAATTTAAATATTTTTTCTTGGAAGTTACAATCCAAAAACTGACTAAATTTATTTATTTATTTATTTATTTTAAACTTAATGCACATACTGTACAAAGGCGGGCTTAATGCCATTAGGCGTTCTCTCCCAGTCAACCTTCAGGTGATGTAGAAATATGATGCGGTAGGTGCAAAATAAAATATGATATTAACATAATTTAGGTCCAGAAACATACACAATATAAAAGCACACATGCATACATAAACCTACATAAATTTAATAAAATATATAAATACTCAGTCGGGAACTAGAGCCGTAACTATTTCGCCAATTCACCCCGAAGAAGATCGCGCACTTTTCTCTTGAATGCGAGGCGATTTGTTGACATCCTGATTTCGACAGGGAGGGCATTCCAGAGGAGGATTGACTGGACGTAGAAGGAGGAGTTGATGAAGTTAGAGGTGTGAGGGGGGCATAGAAGAAGCATATTGTTGGTTGATCGAAGATTTCGATCGTGATTGGAGCATAGGAAACGGAAATTTAAATGTATGATGAAATTATTTACACCTGGCGTATTCTACATTAGTGGCGATTGGAGCAAGCAGCGGGTGGGGAAAGACTTTAACATGGCGTGAGCAGATTGTAACGTGCTGATTAATAGAAAACGTGACATCTGCCCCACACTCAGTAATTAGCAACACACACTTTATTGTTTTAAACTGTTATGTTTCTAATTTGTTGCAGATCTAAAGTAAACCAATAAAATACTAATATAATCTTTACATAGCATGAAATAAAATCGCTTTTTTTGTGTTGTACGCTAAGATCTTTTAAACTAAGCAACGGATTTTAATGCAGTTTTCACCAAGAAAAAGAGTGATTTAAAAGGATGGTTTATGTGTATATTATAGTAGAGGAAATCTGAGAATTTCAAGGATTTGTCGAAAAAAACATGTTTTTGTTCGCTTACATTGCAAACGCTGGCTAAACCTTACGAGATAGACCAAAATAATGTCAGAAAGAATTGTTTATTTATAAAAGATCTACAAAAAATCCGAGTTAATATATGTATATCTCCTAAGGCTAACCCATAGTAACCATTTTTATCTCTTTATATGCCAAAAAATAATGGGTTATTTACGATGCTTATTTTAAATTATATCTTATCCAATTTACATTAGTTGTTGGGCATTTAATAAAAATTCAAAATGTTCTTTACAGCATATCATTAAAGTGAATATTTTCTCAAATATTAGAGATTTAAAAGGCGAAACCCCAACAACCGTCGAGCCGTATGTCCGTCCCGGGTGGCAGATCGGAGTGGGCTATAAATATTGCTTTTAAAGTTATTCTGTAGCATTATTAATAGTCCTATGATAATAATAGTGTAATTAATCACTTCACATTAGTAGTATCTACATTGCACCCGTGCGAAGCCAAAGCGAAACACTAGTATAACAATAAAATATATTCTACAACATCCACACAACGCCATCTAGTCCCAAACTAAGCAGTGTTTCTACAATGGGTACTAGACAACAGATATAAATACATATATACTTTTTTATAAATAAGAACCAGACCAAATCAAATATTAAATTTTCATGCAAACAAATGTTTGTTGAGAACAAATGAATAAAGGAGTAAACGATTAAATTAAGAAGGATCTGATTATAATTTAATACTGATATTTTCTTTTCAGAACTATTAAGGCTATGGCCACCACTCATCGCCCTAGACAGAGAATGCACTAAAGATTACAACTTGGGTAGACCTAACAAGCATGCTGATAGAGATTTTATTGTAAGATACATTTCTATTTTCGTTGGCGCTTCTATTTAATTGACAATCTATAGTTATAGACCCGTAATATTTAGTGGCCGTGCTGCTTCCCTGTTTAAAAGGGTGTTTGCCTATTTTACTTCATTTTGTGGAGGGAATTAAGGAGGGAAGTGGATTTACTGTATTTCCAACTCCTCCAATTTTCTTCTTATTAATTTCGTTGCGGGTCCCAAGACTGTTTAATTTCTTCCTGGGACTTCCCGAGTGTCATAACTCGGTGTGTTCGTGGGTCACTGCTGTGGATCCTCTTGTACAGGAGTTACAGCGGGTTTGATTAGTCCCAATAAAAAAAAGATATAGAGAAAATATTTTTTGAAGTATTAAAGAGGCAACTCAGATTTCGACCAATATGATTATTTTCCATCTAAGAGATGTAACATAAGGTTAAAAAAATATAAATTCGGATTCTGGGCTTTTGTCACCTTAACGGTTAATATATTCATTCAAAGTAAACTCATGTACTTGATTAAATATTATTAACCACCACAAGATAACATATATATACTTATAGACTTATACAACATAGTATATCGTAAGTTATATAATATCGTAGCTTATCATAGTAATGTTGCTTTTACACTCAGATATGCAATCATATTTTGGGGTAATGCTACCAATTGGGATAAAGTTAACAAAGGTCAAAAAAGATGGGTGTTAGCTATATGTAGTCTCAAAAGAACTGACAGCTGCAAAGAATATTTTAAAAAAATTAAAAATACTTACTGTGCCATCATTATATATTTTTGAAATGGCATTGTTTATTATACATCATCCGTCGCTGTTTACATTGGAGCTTAAATCGCGAAATAGCAGTCACTCGTATAATAACCTTACCTGTCACTACCCTCTTTAGAAAGAGTGTGTTTGATATGTCCACAAGGATCTACAATAAGAATCCTAATGATATAAACGAACGTGGCAACATTTATGTCCTTAAAAATAATTTGTTCCATTTTCTTACTGAAAATTGCTATTATTCTGTTGCTGATTTTTTATCGACTACATTTTTTAAATCTTTAATGTTGACGATAATTGAATGTTGTTGACTCTCTTGTGTATGTCATGACTAATAGTAATAAAAGAAGTATTAATCATCAGATTTTTTTTATTATATTATTTAATAATTTGTATTCCCAAGTGGCAAATCATGGAATAAACATCATTAATAATTATGTAATGAACACCTGTATGTTACCCATGTATCACAAATAAACGATTACATTTGATACAAATATAGTAATGTTTAACAAGCACTTACATCCACTCACTTTTATGACTATAAATAAAAGTCAATAACACTTCTGACTATATTTTTTCTCGTGTACATTGCTTTTAAATCTACGATATAACATTTATAGATACGCAAAGGGTCAGGGGTTCAAATTCCCGTATTTGCCTTCCACCGTGACCCGCAGTACTTCCCTAACCCGGACAAGTTTGATCCTGAGCGCTTTTCTGAGGAGAACAAGCACAATATCCATCCACTTAAGTACATGCCCTTTGGGATTGGACCAAGGAATTGTATTGGTAAGTTAAAAAATTCAATCTCAATTCATGCTTTATTGTTGTCCCTCATTAGACATATCGGCTGGTCAGTTGGCCTAGTGGTAAGTAATCCTGACTGCTAAATCAGACGTCATTAATCATCATCGCCATCAACAGCCTTTAATAGTCCACTGCTGGACATAGGCCTTTCCTTAGAAAGTTGGTCTTGGTCTACTATACCACGCTGGCCGGACAGGTTGGTATAAAATTTGTTTCAAGTTCCGCCCAAGTGCTGGCCCAAACTCTCGACCACATGTCGGACCCCCTCAGGAAGGTGTTTGACGCTAGCTTGGCGACCGAATGATTCCCTGAGGGCTGGAAGAGCGGGAAGCTGGTCTTGTTAAGAAAGCCCGGACGGCTTGCCGATTCGGTGGCGGCCTGCAGACCCTTCGAGGGTTGTTTTTGTTCAAGAGGGTTTTCTCCGACCGTATCTTCCGCCAGCTGTACGAGGTTGGTCCCGATCTGTCGGACGCCCAATTTGGTTTTTGAGCGGGGCGTTCGACGGTCGGCGCTGTGTTGCACCTGAAGTGACCATTGGCATCATCAACGCATTCAACAGTCTGCCATTCAGCAGCATCAGGGAAGCACTCCACTATCAATGGATGCCAAACTACCTGGGGCAGTTGTCGAGGTTTGATTCTCGACAAGGACCAAGATGGTAAACTGAGGTGTAGGCAAATGTCGTGCGGTGTTCCACTGCGTCTGTTTTGGGACCCCTTCTATGGAACATAGGGTACGACTGTGCCCTTTGAGCTGATTTCCCCCCTGGCCTACATATAATTTGTTACGCCGATGATAAGAGGTTATTTTTATTAAAATTTTGTTTTTTGACACCTACTCAGGGACCTTTTTATCAAATTGCATATAAGTAAATCTTTGTAATTTGCTACAATTGCCAGATCGCTACACAATAACGATATTAATTGCAGGTTCAAGATTTGCTCTCTGCGAGATGAAAGCCATCACGTACCAACTCCTGCTCCATATGGAGATATCACCGTGTGAGACCACGTGCTTGCCGCCGAAGTTTTCTCCTGAATCATTTAATTTGAGAATCCAGGGTGGACATAACCTTAGATTTAGACTTAGGGCTTGAAGATATAATCGATATTTTTGTACTATTAACACAAATATTGTTTATGAAATAAATGTATAATGGTCAAATTCTAATTATTCTGTAACTAAATAGAAAAAATCTGTTTGAATAGAGATCTTCTTTGTATAGAGAAAATCTGTGAAAAAATTACCTTTAGCTTATGTTGAAATATTTCATTCGGCATTTTACCTATATATATATTAATAATATACTATATCTTTTGTAGTTGTAACTACTGTAATTCTGGCTATAATTGTAATACAACTGCAAGCTAAGAGCGTCCGTGTTTTATTTGGCTAAGCCAAGACACCAGTCTTATAGCGCAGTGTACGACAAAAAATAAGTTTGAAATGCATTTCTAAAACACACATAATACACAGCGATAAGGTTGACAGAATTCTAATATACGTAAGTACAGATATTTTCTATTGATAAATATATCGATAATTACGATAAACAAGTTTAATGTAGAATAAAAATGGTTGATAAACTTACTGAACAACTCCAAACCGCGACACAGAGATAATTTGAATACGCAAGCTCAACTTAGGATACGATTCTCAAACTGAGACTTCCTGAAATTGATTGTGTCAATAAACACTATTGCACTATAATGACATTTATTACAAAAGAGATTAATAATTGATTAATAAATTTTATTTTCATTTCCCGGACAATATGGACAAGGACCCAAGGACATATGGGACTACTGAATTTGCTCCGTGTGTGAAACACACTCAACTCTTTCTTTATTTGCCTCTGAACGCTTTCAAGAGTAGCTAGCTTCTTCGAGAGGGCTCTTATTGTCTTAACATATCTGACTTGATCCTCCGGGATAATTTAGGTTGACCGGTTTTGCATTTGCTGCAACGCCAAGAGTGTTTCCTTTCGCCGATTTCTGTTATTCCTGCACAATGGAAGTTTAGCCCCTGATTACACACTGAACAATAGACCCCATCAGCTATTGGTTTCTCACAAGTGGCGAAGTACTTCTTGGTTAATAATGAATTAAAAGTGACGGGTCGGTAAATTTGTCAGTGAACTTTGAGAAACACTGAAGAAATGAGTACAAGCTTTAGATACTACTGTATAATTCAGGGTCAACGACCTGACTGATTATATATAATTTATCAACAAATTTGGCAAAAGATTATTCATTTCGGTAGTTCACTGTAGTTGGTCGATATTATTGTAATTCCTTTATTAATAATGGAAAAAGAAATCAAAGACAAGGCAATTGCTGTGACCGGAGGAGCCCAGGGTATTGGATACCAGATAGCTCATCATTTTCTGAAACATGGTGCAGCCAAAGTAATCGTTTTAGACATTCTTGAAAATAGTGGTATTGAAGCCGTGAAGACACTCAACGAAGAACACGGGCCGGAGAAAGCTGTATTCTTTAAGTGTGACGTAACTCGTGATCTAGAAACCGTTTCCAGTGAAATACTTTCGAAGTATAAGATTGACGTTTTTGTTAACAATGCGGGAGTTTTGGATGAGACATCACTACGGAAAACTATGGAAATCAATGTTATAGCTGTGGTAGAATGGGGTATGAAGTTTTGGAATTATATGAGAAAGAACAATGGTGGTTTTGGTGGAACAATTATTAACATTGCTTCAATCTATGGATATGTTAGCGATCCTTGGTTTGTTTATTACAAAACTTCAAAACACGCAGTCATGGGTTTTACTAAAACCCTAGGTCATTCTTACAATTATGAAAAAACTGGAGTGCGAGTGTTTGCTGTTTGTCCAGGATTTACTGATACTAAACTTTTGGAGAAAAAAGAACTATTTGAAGACACAGAAGAAGTAACAAAATTTTTAGAAACGCGATACCTTCAAAAAGTGGAGACTGTTGGCCAAGCTGTAGTTGACATGTTCAAGGTAGCTAATAGTGGTACTGCCTGGGTAACACAAAATGAAGAACCCATCGCAGAAATATCATATTAAACGAATGAATCGAAATATATTTTATCAACTTTTAATACATACTTTTTTACTAGTGGAAACTATCTGTGTAAAAATAAACTTTCAAATCAGTTTTGTTCATCTAGAGCCCCCTGGCTCTAGAACAATTCCGTAATAATTTTTAAGGTTGCCATTATTTACTTGTATTATTAATAATATTAGTTGGTCTTAATTTTTACTCTTTCCTGAATATTGTTATCTTGTAATCAGTTTTGCAATTAACTTCGGTTAGATTATAGGCCAACTACATGCATACAACGAAAAATAGTTAAATGGGATTAAAAATAATATTATCAAAAATGTTTTCTCGTTTTGTTATTCTACATATAATTTCAAACATCCATATTTCCAATCTTTAATTAGTTATTTCTAAAACTAAGCTACACACGCTGAATGTTAAAATAACACTTAGTTTACAAAATGTGAAGTGTGTGTACTTCACGATCAGAGACTTTATACGTATCTAAGGTCTGTGAAATTGAGGAGTTTTATCGGTATCATGTCTGATACGACAATTAACTAAGCTTACTCAAATGGCGAGTGAAAGACTTGTGATTATCAGGTCGTGTATGCTAAACTATAATGGTGATACTCTAAGCTACGAGTATCTTAATATGGTGGTTGTTCTTTAGTTTTTCTAACTATTATGCTTATTAACTCTTCATTAACTCAGAACAAGCGTATATGTTTTACTGCTGTATCAAAAAATGTATACGAAATAATACATTTAATTATGGAAATGTCACAGGTGGGTGGTATCCGAGGGGAGTTCAGCACAGAAAAAAAAAGGAGCTAAATAATTTTATCCTCCTGGAAAATTATATGAACTATATTCATACAGGATATTTTTTTCTAAACAAAACTTGCTAGATATAGGACTAATGATCCCTGTATCCTCAGATTCTCTCTAGTTACGTTTAAAAACTCTTGAGGTTTTAGCAACGAGTTTCAAAACACTGAATGTTAATTTCGTACACCGCCACCTAGAGGCACCACAAGGAATTAAATCAACTAAATCTACCTATTAATTATACATTGTATACGTGGAATGCCATTTACGTTTATCTGATTTCAATTTATATAACAATAACTCGTATAACAATTAAGTAATCAGTGTTATTTGAAATTATCGGCTTGAATACAAAAAAAATATGTTATTTTAAATATTATCTTATGAAAGATATTCAAGGTCAATGACCGCGATAATAATATTTATTTGATAATTTTTAAGCAATTTCAAGGTGAATACTTTGGAATGCTGTCGTTGGTGATACTGATGACGCACGATGCACTGTGAATGAGTGTGTGTGCACTTATCTATAGGCTTAGAATAATAACGCATAGAAGGATGGTTTCATATCAAAAAACCGTCGAGTTTAAGGCAAAAACAAAAAACACAATTACACAGTAATGTCAGAGTTACCCCAAAAGCAGGGCAATTTGAACTGTTTCTTTTTTACTTCGCGCGGGATTTCTTTTTTAATTCTATCGATATAAATCTGAAATAAATAATATATATACTTACACAACGAAACTTCTAAAAGTTAAATAGTACTCGTAGAGATTGTTTTAAAGTTATTATAGAGTTCGGACATAGATTACATCTTCCACAAATGTATACTGAAGAAAGAAAGGAAGAAAGAAAGAAAATTTATTGGCACATGCAAAATTCCTTACAAAAAGTGCCAATAGGTCTGCAGCTCAGCATACTGTTGGATGGCCACAGGTGCCTTCCAACGCTGGTTTTCAGCTGCAGCCCATAAGACTGGGTGTTGTCTGCAGGAAGCCATTCAAGTGTGTGATTGTGTGCGTGTATATGTATATATATATATATATATACATGTTGGTGCGACGCATTGATATCATAAAGTAAGGGAGGGAGAAAAAACTACACTAAAAAGTAGGTAAAATTGAAAAAATGCCATCAAAACAAAACAAAACAAAACAATGCGACTGTCGGCGCTCAACAAGGAAAGGACAATGGCAGGTCCCCATACATAATTTTATTTGACCTAAAATGTTAGCGTTTAAATATCAAAAAATCCTTAACACTTGAGAATTTATTCTTGACCATTCTCATATCAAAATTACTTGCGAAAGAAGTCTAGGAAAAAAGATATTGGATTTTGAATGTTTCGAGGTTAAGTACTAACATATTGTTAATGTTTTGTTTGAAACTAGATGTCGTTGTGTGTCAGATAGCCGAAAATATTATTTTCATTATTATTACAGTATATGAAATAAAAAAAATAAAAGCATAACATCTATTCGAGTTTAACACTAAATTAAACAAAAATAAAATAACAAACGTGGTGAGTCCGGAACTTGTCAGGATCTAAACCACAGATTAAGAGATATGTACTAAACGACTACGTATCGACATTTTGAAAATATCGATGTATGTCTATTTATGTGCCGTTATCAATGACAATGTATTTTTCTCATCACACTGTGTAGTGGAAAATAACGTAACTATATTCTATTTCTTTAGTGTGTTTAAAATCGTTTAAAGAGAGTCAAAAATATTTTAAATCATTTCTAATTATGTTAATTCAGTCACTCTACCGTACGAGTGAAGACGTGGGCAGAAGCAAATTCATAATCATAATAGTGAACCTTCGGTAAATATTTCAGCCAAAGCTATAAGAATCGATTATCGATAAATTGTTCCATAATATAATATTGCCACCACGCATCCCTAGTCTTAGGTCAAATAAAATCTTCAAAAATATCTTATCTCTTATAAGACTTATACAACACATGGTGGTGTAATGATAAATCATAGAAAATTTTTTGATTAAGTTTACTGTGACTCGATTTTTTAAACGCTTAAGTTTTAGGTAAATATGTTTCTGCCATTGTTCTTTAATAGTAATATTATTAAATGGCAGATGTTGGAATTTGGATACTCTCAAATTTTTTTTGATGCGAAAGCAAATAACTTTTTAATTTTTACCTGAATGTCGTACCGCTTTTACAATTTCTTACTTACTGTATGCCCATTAAAGTTTATTACGACAACCTCGATGATGCAGTGGCTGCATATGCGACTGCTATGACGAGATCTCGGGTTAGATTCCCGGGTCGGACCAAATATCTGTACGCTTTGTAAATATTTCCTACACCCAATGCAAGCGTGTAGTGAGGTATAACGTATAAGTACTTTTTTGTGACACGCGGTTTCTAAACCGAAAAATGGCACTTTAAATTTTCTTGTATTAAATGGCTATGATTTTATCAATTACCTAATAAAATTATTTCAGTGATGTAATAAATAATATTAGGTTTATTAAAAAGTTGCTAAAAACATCATCAACTTAATGGACGACACCCATCCAGTAAAACTAAAGAATAGTGTTAAGTGCGTTCAATTGACGACCGAATGGCGTAGTGGTTTGTGTAACGGACTGCTATTCCAAAGGTCGCGGGTTCGATTCCCGCTAAAGTCAAACATTTGTGTGCATGAACATTTAATGTTTGATTTGGTCTGGGTGTTTCTATGTATAATAAGTATGTATTTACAAAAATAAAATAAAAAATATGTATTTATATCAGTTGTCTAGTACCCATAGTACAAGCTCTGCTTAGTTTGGGACTAGATGGCGTTGTGTGAATGTGAAGAAAAAAAAAAAAAATTTGACTATTCCACCGAATTATAATCAAATTTATTTTATTAAAACTGGCCATTCTGTGTCAAGGCTTCAAGTGCAAGTGAATTACATTACCAATCTATACAATAAGCATTTTTTTTTCCTTTAGAACATAAATATCAAAATTTGGGAAAGCATTTGGGAAAGCACATATTTGGTCAAAATGGTGTCTGCCAAAATTTAATGTTTTTATTTTGCTTTGAAAAATGTTTTACATCAAAATATGGAAATAAACGTAATACTTATACGTGGATGTTATGTTATAATTTTTGTTATGCTTTTCCGATATACCTTGGCAACCGTTAATTGCACAAACTGTCATTTTGTATTAAAATTCCGAGAGCTGTTAGTACTACAATTTGACCTTGAGCACTGACGCCCGCCATTCGTCCGCTAAGCCAAAATGGCATATTTTACTTGCCTCACGTTTCGTGCGTGTTCTCGGTTTCTATGCGTTATTCTTCTAAGTCTATAGGTTGACATGACTTTAACAAATAAAAATTACGGCCTTTGCATCTTACATATATAATCTGCATAAATTGCACCTAAATTACCTATATTATCGAACTTGGTAAGACGGCCTTCGTACTAGTGTATTACAAGAACCAATTTATTTTTGTTTTTATTTCTGTACCTTCTTTTAGCAAGAGTGCTACACAAATTGAATCTGAACTTGATGTCGGTTGATCCATTGAGGAATATCTGACTGCACGGATGGCGTAGTGGTTTAAGTGGTCGCCACGCCGCTTCCTACAGCGCCGAGTTCTGGGTTCAAACCCCACATAGGACGACACTTTGTGTGATCCACAATTTGTTTTTCTGAGTTTAGGTGTTTTTTGTGTCCGTTTCATGTATGTTTGTAAAGTCCCCCGCGACACAGGATATATTATCCTAATGCGGAAGTTTTCTTTAAAAAAAAAGCCGTGTGGTGTCGTGGGACACCCGATAGAAACGAAGTTGTGACGATCGAGTAAAACTGATTCGACACGACATTGGTAAAATCTCCTTGAGAAATGATGTCGAATACAATATTTTTTGCTCAACCTAAGAACATAAATTTTAATTGTACTGAGATGAAAAGTAATGATTTCCTATCTATTCGATAGATGGCGCTGAATGACTGATAAGTGACAATTCAAAATAAAAAGTGTCGTTACAACTTTTCGTGAGAATTTTTTTCCGTCCCCTTTCACAACGCGCGATAAGAAACTTCGTTCCAAAAAAAAAACATTCTGTAAAGTTTCATAGTCAATGGCTACAATTGAATGTCTTAGTATCCTAATAGTATCAAGTAATAACGCATACGTTTTTTTTTTTCAATATTTATTTTAT